AATGGGAGCTGTTGATGATTGCTATAGTATAGAGTATTTTTAATGCCCCTCCGTAACTAGGGTCTCGAGATATAGACCAAAACGTGGACCTAGATAACCCTAGGATGTGTTTGAACCACATGAGTATCCATTGTAAGTTGTTGATAAATACTAATGAAAAGAGGACTTTTCTTTTCGCTGGGTAACTAAGGACTCCAGATATAGACCAATTGGGAACTCGCCTTCAGGTTAAGAGATTGCATTCTTATGTACTACAACCAGTTAAAATGGTATATTCAATCACATAACAATATAATCTTTTTACCTGAAGGCGAGTTCCCAATTGCAAAATCAGAAACAGAGAATCGGCCGTTGGAATGTATCAAACAACTTTTTTATTGTACTTACCTTTCTACTTCCACTCATTTCGATGTAAGAATAAGCACAAAGTATTTTTATTTGAGAATGGCACATTTTGTTCGTGCTTACATTTTGTGTGAAGAGATATGTGCACGTAGACAAAAATATTAATCAGCATGTTAAAAACAAATCAAAACAAACACCTCATTACTTATTTCCTTCATGGTAAACGTTTCAAAAATTTCACCACACATATGTTACATATTTTTTTTTTATTTAACTCGTACCTACTTGAAAAGCTGAAAAGCGCTTAATGTATGGTGAAATTATTTTTAAAAACACACCAAAAACCCATTTGTTTGGTCAGATTCATAGCACTTAGCCAGCGGATTATACGTTTTCATATTAACATACATACATCAATAATAGTTTAATCATTTACTAAACGATTTGTTACCTACTTAGCTACGATCTTTTGCTCTCAAAATTTATAAACTTTCGTCTTAACTAGCATACTTATTATTCCCACCTACAAACTTACTTGCATTATATTTATATCAACATGTAGGTATGTATGTAGCAGCCAGATCGACAAACAAAGTAGGCTTTGAAAAGACATCGAACTATATTACGGTGCATTTATTTTGCATAGAGAAATACATGAATATTTTGTACCACCTACAAACTTACTTGCATTATATTTATATCAACATGTAGGTATGTATGTAGCAGGCAGATAAACAAAAAAAGTAGGCTTTGAAAAGACATCGAACTATATTACGGTGCATTTATTTTGCATAGAGAAATACATGAATATTTTGTATAGATAGGTATATAGAGCTTTGACTCTTAGCATTAAGAAAATTCAAATTAGGAGAATATATGACATTGGAGTGTAAACATCGCTGGAGCGTTTTCTTTGGCCCCATACGTTCAGTAGTGTCCGAAATTACCGCGGTGCAAAATTATTAGTTATTATAGTGTTTTTTTTTAAATAATTATTGAAGTTTGTGTGAATTTGTGAAAAGAAGAAATATAGCGCAAAGCGAATTTCCGAGCAAAAAACGGTAAGTTTTGAACTGTTGAAGTGAATTACACGAATGCATGTGTTTCCTTATTTGAAAAAACATATGGTGTACCACTATTAATGTAGGCATTTTTATACCTTTCATGAGCATGAAATGGTATTATAACTTTGGTCCGATGTTTGTAAGTACCAGAACAAAAAGAGATAGACCCATTAAAATGTATACTTATATGATCAGAACGTCGAGCTGAGTTGATTTAGCCATGTCCGTCTGTCCGTCTGTCCGTCTGTTTGTATGCAATCTAGTCTCTCAGTTTTCGAGATATCCGTATCAAATTTGGTAGGTGGGTGTATTTTTATAATGTATTAATCATTTGTCGGAACCGGCAGAATCGGACCACTATAACATATAGCTCCCATACAACTGATTGTTCAGATATGAGATTTTTCGTTATAACTTCTCCATTTATGCAGCTACGAACATGAAATTTTGCAGTACTTGCACCCATTATCAACAGAATACTTACAGTGAAAATTACAAAGATCGGGTCACTATAACCTATAGCTCCCATACAACTGATTGTTCAGATATAAAATTTTTCGTTATAACTCCTCCATTTATATAGCTAGGAACATGAAATTCCGCACTATTTTCAATAATTATCAACAGAAAACTTACAGTGAAAATTAAAAAGATCGGGTAACTATAACCTATAGCACCCATACAACTGATTGTTCAGATATGAGATTTTTCGTTATAATTCATCCATTTATGTAGCTAGGACCATGAAATTTCGCGCTGTTTTCACTCATTATCAACAGAAGACTTACAGCGAAAATAACAAAGATCGGGTCACTATAACCTGCAGACCCCATACAACTGATTGTTCAGATATGAGGTCTTTTATCATAACTCCTCCATTTATGCAGCTAGGAACATGAAACTTCGCACCATTTTCACTCATTATCAACAGAATACTTACAGTGAAAATAACAAGGATCGGATGACTACAACATATATCTTCCATACATCTGATTGTTCAGATATGGGATTTTACTGTAAAACTTCTTTATTTGAACAGCTAAAACCGATAAATTTCGTAAGATATTTTATAAATAATAATACAAAGTCTACTGAGAAAATCATCAAAATCTATGCTGTATAAGCTTTATCTCCTATAGCACTGATTGTTCAGATACCAGTTTTTGCCATATATCTCCTTTATGTAGGAAACTTAACCCAATAAATTGTGTTACCGGTTTACATACCGATCACATAGCAGTGAAAATCACTTAGATTGGTGCCATATAAAGTATATCTTCCATACCTCTGATTGTTTAGATGCGATTTTTTATATAAGTATGTAACTCCTCTATCAATGTATGCACATGTATTCAAAAGCAGTAATCTGTCAAAGTAAAATTTGCAGATGTTCATGAAAGGTATGAAGCCTTCGGCACAGCCGAAGACAGCGCTGCTCTTACTTGTTTTAAATTTAATTTATACTTTTTTATTTGAAAGAAAAATGCCACGACCCACACGAGGAAATATAGGTCGGCGAACGCGTCATGCAAATGCTACGGCATTACAAAGGCGATCACAGACTCCAGATGAACGAGCACAAGCTAATGCATCGCAGCGTGAACGTAATGCACGAAATAGATCTGTTGTACCTGAAATTATGCGTGCTGCTTTTAATTACAACAGTCAGATTAATTACAGTATGTACGGATATATTGGAATAATGGACGCAATATGTCCACATTGTGATGCGGCTAAATTTCCAGGTGAAACGCCCGGCATGTGTTGTGCTAATGGCAAAGTGAGATTGCCACCATTAGAAACTCCACCCGAACCATTGTCTTCATTAATTTTTGGGACTTCTGAAAATTCGAAGCACTTTTTGAGTCATATTCAACAATACAATTCGGCATTTCAAATGACTTCTTTTGGTGCTACTAACATTATTAGAGATAATTTTATGCCGACGTTTAAGGTAAATACTTAAACAGGATTGTCCCAATCAATCTGAATCATAAAAGTATTCTATAGTTTTAAAAATTATTATGCAACATATACCTAAAATTGCATACATGTTGCAGATTCAGGGCCAAATTTATCATCAAGCTGGTTCGTTATTGCCATACCCCGACGCTGATTATCAATTTTTGCAAATTTATTTTATTGGTGATGAAAGTCGTGAATTGGATCAACGTTATGCAATTGCTTTGAATACAAGACGAGAAATTATTTGTGAGCTACAAAGGTTTTTCCATCAGCATAAGGCATTAGTTCAATTGTTCAAAATTGCTCTCGATCGTATGCCATCTGATAATCACAAAATCGTAATAAGGGCTGATAGAACACCTTTTGGAGAGCATAAAAGGCGATTCAATGCACCGACAATTGATGAGGTTGCAATTGTAATTCGTGGTGATCAGTTTCAATCGCGTGATATTATACTTCATCGTAGAAATGAGCAATTGCAACGTGTATCGGAACTTCATCGTAGTTACGACGCATTACAATACCCAATATTGCATTGGAAAGGTGACGATGGCTACCATATCAATATACCAATGATTGATCCACGAACAGGTAAATAATATTTTCAGTGTGTTGACATTTCATCATTTGTAGAAATTTCTTAAGTCACATTTTCCACTTATTTTCAGGTCTACATGTACAGAAAAAAGTTAGTGCCATGAATTTTTATTCTTATCGATTGATGGTTCGTCCACAAGAACAAAATTATATCTTGAGATGTCGTAAACTATATCATCAGTACATCGTTGATATGTACGCCAAAATAGGAACAGAACGTCTTAATTTTATTCGTTTCAACCAAGCAAAATTAAGATCTGAACAATATATTCATTTGCAAGATGCGATAGCAAATGATGCTAATATTAATGACATCGGACGTTTAACTATATTGCCATCTTCGTATATTGGTAGCCCACGGAATATGAACGAATATGCACAAGACGCAATGTGTTATGTACGAAAATACGGTCGACCGGATCTGTTCATTACATTTACATGTAATCCGCAGTGGGATGACATCAAAAACAATTTATTTGCAGGACAGTCGACAACCGATCGTCATGATATTACTGCGCGTGTTTTTCGGCAAAAATGTAAAGCACTTATGGATTTAATTGTGAAATTATATGTATTTGGGGAGGTGCGTTGCCATATGTACTCATCGAATGGCAGAAAAGGGGATCGCCGCACGCACATATACCAATTTGGCTGGTACATAAAATAACTCCGGATCAAATCGATAACCTTATATCAGCTGAAATTCCTAATCACACTGCTGATCCTGAGTTATTTCAAGTTGTCGTTAAAAACATGATACATGGACCGTGCGGTCAACTAAATGTGAATTCACCATGTATGATTGATGAAAAGTGTTCGAAACGATACCCAAGGCAATTTACTTCAGACACAATAACGGGCAATGACGGATATCCGTTGTATCGACGTAGATCACCTAATGATAATGGCAAAACGGCAACCATTAGAATGCATAACCAGGAAGTTGAAGTTGATAATCGTTGGGTGGTTCCGTATTGTCCATTATTATCGAAAATATTCAACGCTCATATAAATGTGGAATATTGTAATTCTGTCAAATCCATTAAATATATTTGCAAGTATGTAAATAAAGGGAGCGATATGGCTATTTTCGGTGTTGCTGGTGATAATAGAAATGATGAAATTACTCAGTATCAAATGGGTCGCTATATTAGTAGCAATGAAGCTGTCTGGAGGATTATGTCGTTTCCAATGCACGAAAGACATCCTGCGGTTGTTCACTTGGCTGTACATCTTGAGAATGGCCAACGTGTTTATTTTAATGTAGCAAATTTATTGGAAAGAGCAGCGCAACCACCAGCAACTACGTTAAAAGCTTTTTTCAAATTATGCGAAACTGATACATTTGCGATAACTTTGTTATATTCTGAAGTGCCTCAGTATTACACATGGAATGTGTCTTCGAAAAAATTTCAAAGACGTAAACAAGGAACAGCAGTTCATGGGCATCCTGGCATTTTCCAAACAGATGCAATTGGCAGAATATATACAGTACATCCAAACAATGTTGAGTGTTTTTATTTGAGATTGTTATTAGTTAACGTGAATGGCCCAAAATCATTTCAAGAATTGAGAACAGTCAACGGTCATTTGTGTGAAACATACCGTGAAGCATGCCAACTTTTGCATTTGTTGGAGGATGATGCACATTGGGATTCAACACTTCATGATGGATCTATTTCGGCTCATCCTCAACAAATACGAATGCTGTTTGCCATCAAATCCACTTGAATTATGGAACAAATATAAACATAATATTGCAGAAGATATTTTAATTCGTATGCGTCATCATGCAAGAAATCCTGATTTGTTGATAACTTTGGAAATGTACAACGAAGCTTTGATAATAATTGAAGATATGTGTCTACGGATTGCAAATAAAACATTAGTACAATTGGGTATGACCGCACCAAATCGTGACATGCATGATCTGTTTGATCGTGAATTGCAACGTGAGCAGGAATTCAATTCTAATGATTTGCGTTTATTTGTACAATCGAATATAACCAAAATGAATATTCAGCAAAAACATGTATATGACACAATCATGCAAGCCATTTCCAATAATGCAGGTGGGTTATATTTCTTGGATGCACCTGGTGGTACAGGCAAAACGTTCGTTATATCACTGATTTTAGCCACTATTCGATCGGAACAGAAAATTGCATTGGCACTTGCATCTTCGGGAATTGCTGCTACATTATTAGAAGGTGGTCGGACAGCACACTCTGCATTAAAATTGCCATTGAATGTACAGGTGATTGAAACTCCAACTTGCAATATTTCAAGAAATTCTGCTATGGCAAAAGTTCTGCGATTAACGTCAATTATTTTATGGGATGAGTGTACAATGGCGAATAAAAAATTACTAGAAGCATTTAATCGAACAATGCAAGATTTACGTGGTAACCAACAGCTTTTTGGTGGTGCTTTGATATTACTGTCAGGGGATTTTCGACAAACATTGCCTGTCATTCCTCGGTCAACTCCTGCTGATGAAATAAATGCCTGTTTGAAGTCATCAGTTCTTTGGAGATATGTACAAAAATTGACACTGAACATTAATATGCGTATTCACCTACAAAATGATCCAGCTGCCCATGAGTTTTCAAAACAATTGTTACAAATTGGTGATGGCAAAATACAAATCGACAGAACCAACGGATTGATCACTGTACCGAACAATTTTTGTTCAATTACGAAATCGATAGATGAATTGATTGAATGTGTTTTTCCAAATATTCTTCAGAATTACAGAAATGATTGGTTGAGAGAACGCGCCATTTTAGCACCGAAGAACATTCATATCAATGCCATTAATTTTCAAATTCAAGCAAAACTCCCAGGTGTAGTCACGACATATAAATCAATTGACAGTGCTATGAATCAAGATGAGGCAATGAATTATCCAACTGAATTTTTAAATTCATTAGAACCGGCTGGTATGCCACCGCATTGCTTGAATCTGAAAGTGGGTTCTTTGATTATATTATTGCGAAATATTAATCCACCAAAACTGTGTAATGGCACCAGATTGGCAGTGAAAAATTTATTGCCAAATTTGATTGAAGCTACGATCTTAACTGGTAAATCAAAAGGAGAAGTTTGTTTAATACCGCGTATCCCTATGATTCCAACTGATATGCCATTTGAATTCAAACGATTACAATATCATGTGCGTTTATCATTTGCGATGTCCATCAACAAAGCTCAAGGGCAAACACTTAACGTTTGTGGTGTGAATTTGGAGGAATCATGTTTTTCACATGGCCAACTTTATGTTGCCTGTTCCAGAGTCGGTACCCCCAGCCGTTTGTTTACTCATGCTCAAAATGGAAAAACAAAAAATATTGTTTATCCAAATGTTTTGGATTAAGTTTTAAAATAGCTAGCAAATAATTAAATATATTTTTTTTTTATAAATGAGTTTGATTTAATATTTCACTTTATACGTAGCGAAGCACGTACCGGGCCGCTAGTAAAATACAAAAACCAGTTATACCAGTGTATTTGCTACCTACGTACCCATACCTTGCGCGACCTTTTTGCACATATCTTTTGAACCAGGTAGAATATTTCAATGAAATAAAAACCAAAATGTGTACTCGTTGTTACTCTACAAGTATATTATTATAAATTATATTATTTTGTTTTGCATTTATCAGGACAACAACAAAAACAAAAATCCACTGTTGCATGTCCTGACTTTATTTGCCCATATCTCTGGAACCAGTAGGAATATTCGAATGAAACAAAAGACAAAATACTTGTTATATATTAAAATATACATTTAAAAAAAAAATCATAGAAATCGGTTGAATAAGCATTAAAAAACCGCAAAATAAGGTCCCGGGTACAAACGTATCCCGGGTGTGTGTTTACGTGGTATTTTCTGGGTGTGTGTTCTAGGGTTAACGAAACTTGGTACGTGCACTTCTTTCTGGCGTAGGACGGATGGTATTGAAAATGGGCAAAATCGGACAATAACCACGCCCACCTCCCATATAACGGTAATTTTCAGAAATACGAAAACTGCGATATTTTAGAAACTACTAAAGATTATTCACTCAAAATTGATATTTACAATAAGTTTTAGACGTAAAATAATAATATTATAAATTTTTGGAAAACGGGCGTAGCCACGCCCACTTATGGTTACATGTGTATATCTTGGTAACCGCTGCACCAATTTGTTCCAAACTTGGCACGGTTGTTAACCTTGGTATAACATACGAAAAATTTTTAAAATCGGACAATAAACACGCCCACATCCCATATAACAATAATTTAGAGAAATACGAAATCTTCGATAAATCAGTAATTATAATTACGCCCATTTTTCAAAATTTTATCCTAAACGTATTTCTTGGTAAAGAATTGTTGCAAACATCAATTTTGAAAAAATATTGAAGCTAATTTATTCAAAATTGATGTTTGCAACAATTCTTTACCAAGGAATACGTTTAGGATAAAATTTTGAAAAATGGGCGTAACACCGCCCACTTATGATCACATATATGTATCTCGGTAACCGTTCTACCGATTTGTACCAAACTCGGTGTGGTTTTGTGCTTGCCACATAGAAGCAAAACAGTAAATTTCAGAAATGCTTGAAACTTCAATATTTCGAAATTTAAGGACGCTAATTTACTCAAAATCGATACACCCCGGTTTACAATGTAGCGGTAGCTTTCGGAAAGGTAAAAAACATATATTTAATACTTGCGCCGGGTATTTAATGTTCGGCTCCGCCCGAACTTAGACTTTCTTACTTGTTGTAATTTATTTTTGATCCTTTCTTCTGTGACTGGCCAGATATACGTTTTATCATCGCACTTGCATAATATTCCAGGGACCGAAAGTAACAGTTATTTTTTTACCAGTTAAACTTGGCCTAATATTTTTTTATTCCGAAAGTTTTTTTCTGGATAGATAAGTTTATCCAAATTAAACAAATTTGGTATCATGTGAAAGAGGACTGAAATAGCTTTTAAATAGAAATAACGAACGAAGGTTACCACCTCTATTTATATATATATTTTTTTTTTACATATCATTTAATACTAAATAAACTCATATACCAGACCCAAGGTTTATTCTATGGTAATTAATTATAATTTTTTATTGAAATATTTTTCAATAGGTGACTTTGCTTGTTTATACATTTCACTTTTTAAAGCAATTTAAGTCCTCTTTCATTTGATACCAAACTTGTTTAATTTGGATAAGCGGTTTGTTTATTGTCCGGAAAGGACTTTTAGTTGGGAATAAAAAATATTTGGTCAAGTTTAACTCGTTAAGACAATAACTTTTACTTTCGGTCCCTTCAATATTCGCATTCGCAAAAGATCCACATTGATTATTGCGAATGCGAAATCGAATGCGAATGTTAAAATTAATGCGGAAGCTCCGCTGTTGCGAATGCGAATGCGAATATTCGCAACAACCCTGGTTCAAACATCAGCCAGGGGAATGGATAACATTGGATGGTGTCCAAACGATAAATTTTTTGTTGCTGTTGATGTGCGCATGTTTATATGTATAAATACATACTACATACATTATTTTGTTGCTATCCTACCTATTTCTCTCCAACATAAGTATACACATGAAGCGTAGCCACGAATAACATTGGAAAACTCCCGCTTCAGACATGGGCAGTTTGTAGTTAGCGTAAACGAACATAGTGATACGGGATTTTTAAGAACGTTGCGATAGCCAAATTGAGTTTAAGATCTCTAAAAGCGTATTTTCTTAAAAGGGCAATAAATGAATAAATTTTTTTTTCAAACAACTCATGTATATTTAATTTCACGTGAACCCATCCTTCACAAAAAATATTGATAGATATAGCCCTTGTTATAGACTCTAGTCCGAATTCCGGTAAGTAACATAAAATAATGTCAGGAGCATGTAATAGATAATGTACCTTTGTACTATTTAGCATGTCATTGGTCGGTAACAAGAGCAACTTAAATTTAAATCTATTAAATACATTCTAGCGTGTCTCAGTCCTTTGCCCACAAAAGCGGCTATAACTTTTTTTTTCTATTCGAAACAGTAAGAGTGGCACCTTTCTGAAATCTTTATTAAATAAGCAATTTTTACATTTTTTTTCACCAGAGATAGTCAAAGTTGGGGAAGAAAATATCAAAAAGTTAAAAATCCCAAAATAGTCCTAACTTTATGATGGTTCCTTAATATATTTTAACTATGTACATTGCATTTCAGTATGGAGAAGCAACTATCTGGAAGTATTTTACATAAAAAATTTACTAAGTATAGCCTGGTTTGTAGATGCAGTTAAAGAAAATACACGAAAAGGCACGATTTTTTTTAATTCAAAAAAATGTAAATAGAGTAAGATCGGGTATTGTGGGCACCATTTCACCTTGATATTAATTTCTGCCAAAATAATGGTAATGAAAAAGCGATGTATATTTTTTTCTAAAAGGTATTGAATTATCTTTACATTTTATTGCAAAATATACCCTAATATTATCGTTTTCATCTGATAGAATAGAAAACCTGAAACCACCTCAAAAGTTGATGAAAAAAAACTGGAGGGTAATGTGGGCCAGGGTATTCGGATAAAGTGGGTCACTGCATAAAATCACCAAAAACCAAATTGTAAGAGTTAATAATAAGTCAATGCATTTATTTATATATTTATTTTATTGTGATTTAACAAAAATGACCTTCTTGGCTGACTTTATTAGAAAAAAATTATTAAACTAAGGTAAATATAAATGCCTCCCTGGCTTAAAGATGTAAATAGTAAGGTTTAAACTTTAATTAGTGTACTTTATGAATTATTCCGAGCAAGAACTACAAATAAAGATGGCGTCTCTTTTAGGTAGGCACTTCTCGTGAGCCCAAACCATATCGCATTGCAGGCACTGTGTCCTTAGTTGATATCCAGTGTAATTTTCCACCCGAGCTCCACAGAAATTGCATTCTGTCTCTTTGTTTGATGGAACATCCGGAAAGAGATCTTCCCCGTCTGAGTCTAATAAGTTTAGAGATTCTTCAGAATCAGAAGAAGACTGTACTTGATCTGTCTTTTTCCGCTCAGGTTTTTTTGTCTTAAATTGTTCGTTTACCTTTGGCTTAGATTTTTTAGATGAACCCACACTCTGTTTTAATTCATTTTTATATGGTGACTTTGTTAACACAGAGGCTTTACCCCTTTTCCTTCCGCGGTTTGTAGAAGGCTTCCTTATTTTCGGTACAGTAGATATTTACCAAGGTGTGACACGGCTCGTGCTCGAACTGGTGAAGATATATTGGCTGTAAGGACTTCATTAGAGGTATCAATGTTTTTGTTTGTTACAGAAGGATATTGCTCGTGTGTGACTCGGCTCGTGCTCGCCTCTGGTGAAGATATACTGGTTGTAACGACTTCATTAGAGGTATCAATATTTTCGTTTGTTACCGAAGAAATCCCCGTTTGTATGGCTTCTTCACCTAATTCGCCAGCTATGAAATCAAAGTCAGAAAATATATTTCTGTCGAAAGGGTATATGCCGGTACACTTAAAACCATTTACGGCTATTTGTCCAACTTGAACCTTAAGGTATGCTTTTGTAAACAACTCAGCAATGTCAAAGTGTGTAACTTTTCTTTCCTTTTCACGGATAAACCTGCGAATTTCCTCACTGTAGTGAGCTTTTAGTGGCCCCATAAATGTCTTATCCAAGGGCTGTAGCTTGTGGGTCGAGTGTGGTGGAAGAGAAATTATTGTAACTCCATTTTGGGTAGCA